ACCGATAGTCATGCTCCATGGACTCTCCGAACTCCTCCCAGTCCCGGGTTTTTGCCTCTGCAACAGCCCGGGCCGCGGCACGCTTGGCCTGCCGGTACTGGACAGCTGCCTCAGGAGTCCCCCGAACCATCATGGCTCGATAGGACTCCTTCTTCAGCCTGACAGCATCCCTTACTGCCGGTGTCCACCACCGGGTTCGGGGGTTGCCGCCGGGACCAGCACCAGAGACCTTGCGACCACAGCTATGAGCCGCCGCATCGGCGATTGAGGCAGAGAACATGGTCCACTCGGACTCCATGTCCCCCTCCTCCACCGGGACCTGGGAGAAACTCTCCCGGAGGTGTGAGTTGAAAGTCCGTCTGACAGGGGGCTCAGCGAGACGTTCCCAGCAGACCCTCACTATACGCTTGGGTCTGCCAGGTCTGACCGGCTTCTTCCCCTGCCAGCGGATCCAACTCACGACCAGGTGATGATCGGTTGACAGCTCCGCCCCTCTCTTTACCCGAGTGTCCGAGACACGCGGTCGAAGGTCAGATGATACGACAACAAAGTCGATCATCGACCTCCGGCCTAGGGTGTCCTGGTGCCACGTGCACTGGTGGACACCCTTGTGCTCGAACATGGTGTTCGTGATGGACAAACTGTGACTGGCACAGAAGTCCAACAACTGAACACCGCTCGGGTTCAGATCAGGGGGGCCGCTCTTCCCGATCACCCCTCTCCAAGTGTCACTGGCGTTTCCCACATGGGCGTTGAAGTCCCCCAGGAGAATAACGGAGTCCCCGGGCGGTGCACCGTCCAGTACCCCTCCCAAGGACTCCAAGAAGGCCGGGTACTCTGCACTGCTGTTAGGCCCGTAGGCCGTCACAACAGTGAGAGACTTATCCCCCACCCGGAGGCGGAGGGACGCGACCCTCTCATTCACCGGGGAGAACTCCAACACGTGGCGGCTGAGATGGGGGGCAGTGAGAATGGCCACCCCAGCTCGCCGCCTCTCCCCGCGGGAAACACCAGAGAAGTGGAGCGTCCAACCCCTCTCAAGGAGTTGGGTTCCAGAGCCCAAGCTGTGTGTGGAGGTGAGGCCGACTATCTCTAGTCGGTATCGCTCAACCTCCCCCACGAGCTCGGGCTCCTTCCCCCCCAGTGAGGTGACGTTCCACGTCCCAAGAGCCAGCTGTTGTGTGTGCGGACTGGGTCGTCGAGGTCTCCGCCTTCGACTGCTGCCCAGTCCTCTCTGCACCGTTTCGCCACCACGGACCCCTCTGCGGGTGGTGGGCCCACAGGAGGGACTGCCCACGTCGTCCATTCGGGCTGAGCCCGGCCGGGCCCCGTGGGCTAAGGCCCGGCCACCAGGCGCTCGCCTACGAGCCCCGACCCCAGGCCTGGCTCCAGGGTGGGGCCCCGGCTGCGCCATGCCGGGCGACGTCACTGATTTCTTTTGAGTGCTGTCCATGGTGTCTTCTGGACTGCTCTTTGTCTGACTCGTCACCTGAGACCTGTCTGCCATGGGAGGCCCTACCAGGGGCATGAAGCCCCAGACAGCATAGCTCCCAGGATCATCCGAGTACTCAAACTCGGATGATCTGATAGATTGTAAGACAAAACAGTAAATGACTGCTGCTGCTGCAACTACTGCAAAGAAATTGGATAGATTTTAGGATCTACCTAACCCTGCAACTAATATACAGTATCTGATGCAACAACAACCGCTGCTACTTCCACAACTGATTGTAGCTCCAACTACTACTACTACGCCTACTACTATTACTACTACTATTACTACTACTACTGCTACCACTATGGCAACAACTACTCCTCAGGGGTTGTCAGCCCCAGAGCAGGTCTGTCCAGAAGTCATGTGTGTGGCTGGTGTACTGCTGAAGTTGCCGTCTCCTACAGCCAGAGCCCCGTTAGCCATCAGGTTGTGATCCCAGGGGCTTGGTGCCCATAGTGCACGACGTGGAGGTTGGGTTGGTTTTACTACTACTAGTAAAACCATCCCACCACTACTACTACTACTACTACTACTACTACTAGTACTACTGTGCTGCTGCTGCTCCGTACTGCTATGTATTATGCCATTACCTACAATGTCAACACTTTTAAGACTTCTGATATACTACTATTACTACTACTGCAGGTACTATTACTTTTGTAATTGTAAGTCATGCTGAACTATGAGCAATAATATATTGACAACGTGTTTTTGTATCTAATATGTGTTCAGGTTTAGAACATTTCAAAATAAAGTCTTAAATGTAAAATAACATAACATGCATACACTACACTTTCTGCTAGTTAGGATTTTTTTTCAGTTTATGCATTTGTTTGGGCATTCCAGAAAATGCAATGGGCCATGTGAGAGTCATCTGAAAGCCTCCATTTTATTTATGAGTATCTATTTTTCATTAACTTTTTTATTTTTTAAGTAATTGCGAAGAAGAAAACAAGGTGTTTCAAAGCCGACTGTTCCACTTGTGTCAAAACAGCTCAGGGCTGATACCTTTCCTTTGCCATCAGATTAGCTTGAAATGACCTATGTTAACATTTGATAGTTCTGGCGTCTCATTTATGTCACAAATAAAGTAAATAGAGCTCTAAAAACGTGCTCTCTCGCCCTGTGTCCTGGTTTTACACCTCCTCCCACATTCTAGTCGCTGACAGACTGGATGTGACAGTCTTCACTGCTCTGTCTGTGCACACATGTTCAAAGCCCAAAGTGTCAATATTCCTCTCGTGTCAAATGCAACTGCTCGAAGCTACACAGACAACCATAGAATTCAAAGCACACGTTTCAGAAGACATTTTTGAACAAAACTATAGCGTTATGTTAGTTATGTCTGCTCATTTAGGGATAATAGAAGTACATGGAAATTAGAATTATGTTCAAATTTCACTACTGTCCGTTCACTTCTGTAATTCAGTGTAAAATGTGACAGATCTCCTCCTCCTCTATTTGTTATAATGTTGGTAATTGGCTCAAAGCTTGTGAAAACATTTTAGAAAACTGTGGTAATCCAGAAAACAGACATATGTCACTTTGCATGTATTGAGTCTATTTACTATATATATATATATATATATATATATATATATATATATATATATATATATATATATATATATATATATATATATATATATATATACTGCATTACATTTAAGCCTAAACAAAACCCTTTTTATACACTGTATATACAGTATATATTTCTTAAAGCTGAGGACTTTTATTTTAATTAGGAACCCCATCTTGTTTTCTCAACCATTTGGAAGATCACCTTTTGAATCACTGTATCTACTTGAAGCTTGGAACTGAAATATACTTCTTTGGGGCATCTCATTGGTTTTAGGCACTTTTATCATCAAATTACATCTCGGCTTTTTAGGAAAACCTATAATAAAAATTAAAAAAATAAGCTAATTATGTGTCCCTCACCTATGGTCATGAGCTTTGGGTAATGACCGAAAGAACGAGATCGCGGATACAAGCGGTCGAAATGAGCTTCCTCCGCAGAGTGGCTGGGCGCTCCCTTAGAGATAGGGTGAGGAGCTCAGTCACACGGGAGGAGCTCGGAGTAGAGCCGCTGCTACTCCACGTCGAGAGGAACCAGTTGAGGTGGCTCGGGCATCTGTTCAGGATGCCTCCTGGACGCCTCCCTGGGGAGGTGTTCCGGGCACGTCCCACCGGGAGGAGGCCCCGGGGAAGACCCAGGACACGCTGGAGAGACTATGTCTCTCAGCTGGCCTGGGAACGCCTTGGGGTCCCCCCGGACGAGCTGGAGGAAGTGTGTGTGGATAGGGAAGTCTGGGCGTCTCTGCTTAGACTGCTGCCCCCGCGACCCGGCAACGGATGAAGCGAAAGAAAATGGATGGATGGATGGATGTGTCTTATTAGTGCTCTTACATCTTAGAAAAAAATAAATAAACAAATTACATTGCTTTCTTCAAGGAGTGAACAATAAATGGTTAAGCATGTACTGTATGTATGTACATGGATCCAGGACACTCTTGAAAAAGAGATTATTAATCTCAATGAGGTTCTCCTGGTTAAATAAAGGTTAAATAAAAAAAATAAAAAAAATGTAAGCACATAAAATAAATATTTTGTATATCTTTTTACAGACACTTCTAAGCTCCTGTTTGCCATGGATAGGTGATTAATGTCTTCTTCCTCTTAAACCTGCGGAGCCTTTGATGCGTCCTCCGTTTTACCTGGAACGGCAGCAGTGCCCTGCAGCTGTCAGGCCTGATCAGAGCCTGCTGCTCACTGGGCTTCACATGTAGCACCAGACATGCCACTGTCAAACATGCATGAAGGAGACACTCACAAATGCACAGCCCACTCCCCCGCTCTCTGCCGCAGGCTCCCGGGAACCTACTGCACTTTGGCAAAGAAGATAAAGAGGAGAAGGAATGTCCCTGCTCTGGCTGAGGCGAGGAGGCTGCGTAGTGACATTTTCATCTAATGTGTGACTTGACACAACAACTGATGGACGCTACATCTGGGGCGCCGTACTTTGTGTTTGCACATTTTCTTTGTATTGGTGGAAAAATATGTTTTGTTTCCATTTTCTTTGTATTAGAACAACATTGCACACAGGTATGGTGGCAGATGGAGGCCAGACAAATGGAGAGGGGATTATCATTCTATATGTAATGTATAGTTATTTTATATTTCTATTTTGCCGCCACAATTACAAGTCTTAAGTCTTGGATTATTTGTTGTTGTTGTAATTATTGTTTTTGTTTGTCTCATCATGCATTTATTACCGTACCATTTCTTTATATAACTGCAATTCATCCCTTCTCTGTTGCTCTCATTATCTACCTAAAGTTTTGGCTTCTGCTTTCCTGATGTCTCGTCAGAATATATTCTACTGTATACGATGAAAAATCCCAGGCGTGAAATACTCCTCCAAAAAGGTTCTTTCACACAGAAACAGTACAGTGCATACACACTATTTAGCATAATGTGCAGAAGTAACAGAAAAGCCACTTACCACATGTAGGATTTTGTTCTCGGTTTCGTACACAGTGCAATCCTGCGTGAGAGAAGCAAGAGAAGAGACACAACGTCAGGCAGTGAAAAATGTCACATCAAACAAGCCAAAAGCTCAAATAGCTCCAGCTTCCAAAAATATAACAAATGGAAATAAGAGATTTGAGAAGACAGAACTGAAAAAGACAAGTGGCTTTTTTAGCATAACAGCACGGGTCTCAAACTGCGGACAGGTACCTCAAATAGACAGTGGTGGTTTAATACTGGACTGGATCTGGTTTGATCCTGGATACCTCCGTTGCAGTTTTTTATTATTTTCTAATTTTTGTTTTGATCTATGCTGGTCTATTACAGTAGTTTAACAACGGTTGTGCTTTTAGGCTTGAGATTGGTATTAAGATTAGGAGATCCTATATTTGTCCCACAGATAAATAGATGGATAGATAGATAGATAGATTAGCTACAGCAGATAGGTGGAGTGTGGAGTTTGCATGTTTCTCCGAGTGCCTAGCTACGCCGAGGACCATTGCCCCAGTGGCATCGAAGAATGGGCAAATACAGGGTCCAGAGAACATATCACCCCTGTCCTCCAGCAGCTCCACTGGCTCCCCGTTCAATACTGCATTAATTACAAGCTCCTTCTCCTCACCTACAAGTCCCTCCATAACCTGGCCCCGCCCTACCTTACTGAGCTCAGTACCAACCCACCCGCCGCCTTCGCTCAGCCGATTCCAACCTCCTCGCTCCCATCACCCGCACTAACCGCCGGACCATGGGGGATAGAGCCTTTGCCATTGCCGCCCCAACCCTCTGGAGGTCACTCCCACTGCCCATTAGAAACCCTGACTCACTAACAAACTTTAAATCAGTACACAAAACCCATCGTTTCAAACAAGCTTTTTCCGTAAACCCCTTTTTTAATGTATTGTTTTTTATTCCCCATGTGAAGCGACTTTGAGTGTCCAAAAAAGCGCTACAAGTTTGATGCATCATTATTATTATTATTAAATGCAGAGGACGATACCATAACCTTAACCTTAAAATGCCTTTTTACATAATAAACGATACACTTGATCTAATAATGTGACAGGGGCCAAAAACACATGCATGTGGAAACTATAGTGATACAAACGTTTTGAAAGAGAGAGTGACTAGATGATGAGTTAATTTGTTTGTGGATTGAAAATGAGGTATTCCAAATTGAGATTTCACCCAACAAAACTGTACTAAATATAGACATTCTAATCTGCGTGTTTACCTGAATAAAGCTACACAACTACATGTTTAATAGTATTTCAATCACACTAATATGACTCTGAACGCGACAGACAGAGCCACGGATTGACCGGCTGTGGACCTCCATGCTGCCTGGAGCTGCCACATGCCCCTGTTATTTCACCGATAGTGGAGAGCTCTTAATCTATTTCTGGGAATGAGGCCCATTGAATACAGCAGATGTGGGGGAGCAGCTAATTCATCCGTTTGATGCTTCTGTGTGGGGAGAGCAGACTCCGGCGACACTGCTACTGCCACTTTTGTTTGCCCGGGTTCCACCGGCTGATGGACTCGTGTGGGTCAATGTGGATCATTAGTGGCCGTTTTTTGTCTTTGACTGAGTGGGTGTTATCAGAACCAAAACAGGACTCCGGGGGAAAGACTACAAATGGGTTTAGAATGTGCTTAAGATGAGTAATATTTAGAGACACACGTGCAATCATGCTGAATGTACAATGATTGTATATGGAAGAAAAGTTATACATTGTATCTATAAATATATTTCTTATTTCTGCTGTTGTTATTACATGTTCAAATATGAAACTATGAAAAGATGCACTTGTTCAGACTCTCTCACCGTCAGGCAGTGTTGTTACCCCGTGAATGCTTTTGTGTGATGTATATAGTTACACGGTTACTAATAAGTGCACAGAATTGCAGTTTCCTGTGTATAATGTGCTACATTATTCCTGCTCTTCTATTTGTGCATACTTAAGATGTACTTAAGATGGACTAAGAAGTGTGTGATTTCTTCATTTTTCAGTGATTAAAGGTTTTCTGAGCCTTGTTTTTGTTGAAAATGTAACAAAAAAAATGAACAGTGATATTGTATTTGTGAATATGTGTATGTAATGTCAGTAAGGCTGTCTGATTGATGCTCAAAGTAGATTATGTAATGTTATGTTGCTGCAGAGTTGAGGCCGAAGTCGATGCACTGCCATTAGAACCAATCACTAGTTGATACGTGTTTGATTAGATGTGTTACAAAAAGCCTTTAGCCATGCAGCCATCCAGACAACACATTGTCTAGTCGTCTATGATAGAGTTAAGTGCTGTCCAGTGGTATTGAAATGTCCCCACTGTCGGATGACTAAAGGCTCTCTTATCTTATTGATGACCTCAAACTATATCTCTGTGTATGTTGTGAGACTTAAAGGGGACGTACTATATAGGCACGACAACCAGAAAAAACTCCAGTCCAGGCCTCCAGCTATTTGGAGGAGTCCTGTAAGAATGCTTGTTCTCGACAAATACATTTCTTAAAGTTTGACATCAACTTAATTTATTATGAAAAGTCCATTTAACAGGAAAAACATGCTTTTGAGCTGCTGAAGACCAGCTGTTGCATGAGTAAATAGGGGTATTACCTGTTTCATTTTCATCAGATGTACATTAAAATCAAAGCGGTGAGTCACCACATTTCACCACATTTAAAGGATTATTTGATTATCTAATTTGTACATGTTTTTGCCTCAAAGCGAAAGCCTCTTTTTACTTTTTTACAGGAATCACTTGATGCTGTGTACGCTAGTTTTGACATCACTTTTATCGTCTATTGGAGTAAGCCCCGGATTTTCGGCCTGTGCTTTTGTCTCACATTTAAAATCATGAAATCCTGTCATAATAGCAGGTAGCGGCTCTTTCAAACAGCTGGAAGCATTGCTTCGGAAATAACTTCTCCGGTAGGCAGCGCAGGCGGCCGCGAAAGTTTTTCCGGTCGTTGTGCACGGAGTGAATATGCTTTTCACAGCTTTTGACCATGTTATAATCATTTACTCACTCAGCTTAGTTTTGTTCATATTCTCTGACAACCAAGAAAGCAAGTAAATAAGTCCTCTTTATTCAAGCAGTGCATTTTACAGAAAGTGCTTTACAATGTTCAGAGTTCCGATAATTATCCATTTCCTCTTAAAACGGTGATGATGGAAGCGAGACACCGAACACACTGGCGCATCCAAGCCCTGAGCCACCACCATCCATTCACTCACTCAATACATTCATACCTATTGTACAGGTTTGAAGCAGTAGGGGAAACCGTAGCACCCGGAGGAAACCTACGCAGACACAGGCAGGACATGCAAACTCCACACAGAAAAGCCTGGAGGTGGAATCAAACCCAGAACCTTTTTTTAACATGTGCAATGACATAAACTTTGAATGTCACAATAATTATAACATTATCCAACCCACGTTTATTTATATAGCACATTTTATAGGACAAGTTTCCAGAGTGCTGCACAGAGGTAAAAGTGATATATTATTATAACCTTTGTACTGTAACTGTAACATAAAAAAAAATAAAAAAATTCACTGCTAAACAATACAACGTCTGCAGATTTGGATACGCACCTGTTGTACAATAGTGGTTAATTCTAGACAAAGCTGCACAATGTTGTTCTTCAGTAATGAGTACTCGGTGACACTGGCAAAAGGAGACCTGCAAAAAAGATAAAGAAAAATCCACGTTTAACACAGTTTGAGATGTTCTGTTTTTTTCTACATGGGGAGAACACGTGAAGCAGCCCAATTTGGCAAAGATGGAACACGGCGTACTATTGTGCACTGAACTTTGAGAAACCCACGAATCCAATGTGTGTGAACAAAAATACAAATGCTATTATTAAACCGGCCTAGGTGTAGTACTTCAATGTCCCAGGAAGTCTTAGTAAAAGTAAGTCTGCAAGATGTATTAACATTGAAGGGAAATTGCACTGTCTCCATTAAAAGAATGAAAGTTTGAATGAAGGAAAGTTTATGTGAAAAATTGAATAAAAACACAGAATAAATACAAAGACAACCACAAAAAGACAAAATAATTTCAACAAGAAGAGATAAAGTAGCAATAAGTGCAATTTTCATGTCAAGTGATCATTAAATGGCCCTAAAATGTCAAAAGGCATTAATAAACCATGCTCTTTTCCAATTCTTTTTTAACTGACAACAGTAGTTCAGCAGATATTTGAATTTCTAAATTATTTTTACAGCCCCTAGATGTCCCGCCCTCCACCGTTTCACCAATCAGAAAGTCTGTGATCCATGTGGCCGCAGGTCTCGTTATGATTCTCAAATCATTGATGACAAAACAAGAATTAAAACCAGGATTTGTATATTTGTGAAAAAGGTCTTGGTAATAGATTTGTTGTTGACAAAACTCTTTTCTATTCAGATATTATGTTCCCAGGTGGATTTGTCTCCATCTCTGGGAACCTGAGTCAGGGAGAGTGGGAGAATTTGTGGCACCACTTTTAGCCAGATTTTTACATACTGCTCCTTCAACACTTGTTCATTTTCAAAAGAAGTATAAAGAAGCCAAAGCTTATTAAATTCCCTCCTCCCCCCAATGTTAATTCAATATATTGTAGTTGTAAAGTTATTTGCAAATACTGCAAAAAATCAGGAAGCCTAGTTTAGCCACACTACATATCCTTAAGGTGAAACTGGAAAATGGTTGAAAAGTGAATTTACTTCTGTAATTCAACTTAAAATATATGATGAAGACTCATTAAGTGACGTATGCCAAGGCTTTGTTTGTTAGAATATTGATAAGTATGGCTTATGTAAATGCACTTTTGACAGTATTTTTAAATTCCACTTGTATGTTCCTAAAACCATGGGATTCTTGCATCAGTTTAATTACGAATGTTTCAACTATGAATCAAATCGTACAGCTCCTGGTTATATTTCTAATGCAAATTTTAAACAGTCAAAAAGTCTAATCGGAACCTTTTTACAGTGATTATATTTTGGTAACATTGTGCAGCCCGTGTAGTTAAATTCAAGCAGATATATTATTTAGCAAAAAAGGAAACCTCACTCCAAACTCAGCATAACCAGGGGACTAAATATATTTCAGAGCGCACTAACCATTCAAGCCACAAAATTGCTTTTAACACATTTCTCAAGCCAGTCCTCACCTCATGGCGCTCTGGTTAATAGTGTAAACGTTCTATTATTTCAAACAGCTACAGACTTTCAGCTTCTCTTCCAATTTGCTTTTATTACACTCAGACATGTGGCCCTAAATCCCATTTCCACAAAAGTGAATGAGTGCGAACAGTGCATAGAGTGCTTGTCTCTGTACCGGATTACATTTGTTATATTAGGGCTTTATTTTGTTTTGGCCTGTAAAGTGAGATTTAGTGCGACTGTTGTAAGAGAGACCAATAAAAGCCATTTGCTGTTACTCTTAAAACTCAGAGAGAGACAAATAACAATATTTGATTTAGGGCCAAGGCCTCTCCACAAACTTAGTGAAGAGCCGCACTACTTTATTGCATGGCTGCGTATTATTCTGCTTCAAAAATAGATCTACTAAATGTAGAAGCGCTTTTAAGTTTAATTTGGGATAGACAGTGTTCCGTGAGTTTGATAAATGGTCCATTGAAACTCATGTATCCATTTTTTTTGTTGGCAAATTATTTTTTTGGCTCTTTTCATGCTAATATAAAACATTTTCAACATTGACTTGCCCACTTTGCCTCGCTCAATGCCTTGTGTTTAATGATCTATCATCAAGTCAAACAGACATTTTGATTATTTACTTTTTTATTATCATTACAGCACAGTTAGTTTGATAAAGGCTTGCATAGGGGGTTATAATTCCCGAAGGGCAGGTGTTTCCAACCATTTTCAATTGGAAACTACTTTTACTTGTACAGAAAGCTTCTCATTTCAGCAGTCATAATTACATTTTAGTTCATATACTAATTATTGTGAATACCACAATACTGTCTAGCCCACATGACAGAAGATCATGAAAACATTCATATTTAAAACAGGTATGTGAGGATCATGTTTTGATTGATACACCATGAAAGAAGCCGGTAAGCGCCGTCCTCACTCGCGATCATTGAATGTCAGAACTTACGCTGAGTTTTATGATGCGTTCAAGAGCCCTTTGGAGGAGCGGAAACACGGACTCTTTAACAGTTACTTTGTTTTGATTGTTTATAAATGTTGTACTGTGTTTAGGCAAAACAAAACAAACTCCAGGAACAAATCATGGTTAACTAGTCTGATTTTGTTAGTTTAATATTCAGTTCACTACTAATTGAGAATACTTGCCCTATGTTAAAAATATTAAGTTAAAACAGAGTTAAAACCTGATCATGTTTAGAAAATGCAGTTAGCAATTATGTTCCCAAATTCATTACTTAATGTTAAAATGTATTGTTTAAAAGTGTGCTAAAACCAGATCTACTGATCAGTGATGTCTCCCCTTTTTGATAAAAGCTAAGATAAAGTAATATGATTTAAATGTAGTTAAAAACTTTTGTTCAAAATAAATATATGAAAATAGACTTTACTTTTGTAAAGTAAATGTCATTTGCTAGTACAATAAACCTATACATTATAAATCACTATATAGTAATGCAAAACTGTTTAGAAAAAGGTCTTCAACAAACAGTTTACTGACATGAGCAGGTTAAAAATATCGATTATTTAATTTGGGAGTATGATATTATTTAATATAAATTAGTACTTTCATTTACTAACAGGAACATTATTTGTAAGTGGCGTTTAAAAAACAGTTTAGTTACATAGAAAATGTATGTTTCTGTTCTCTTTTAGAGGTTTTTTTTATATGATTTTAAGCTGTAAATAAGCCATGACAGAAAATCTCCCTCCTCTGGACCCTGATTACCCGGCCGGAATCTTTCCGTACTGTAGTCTCCTCAAACCTGCATATTTCCCTGGAGTCTCCACTTCACTAAGACTGTGTTGATTTCATTCATTCAGCTGTGATTTGCACTGATAGACAATAATTAATGCATTTAATTGAACTTGATCAAATCTACATTTATTTTTGTTTCATGCGAAATATCGGTGTATTTGGCCCGCGGCCGACTGGCAAAGTTTTACTTTGGCCCTTGGAAGCAAAAGGTTTGGGCACCCCTGCTCTAAAGCTACAGGTTGGAGAATTTCTTGTAGAGTGCCATCCATCCATTTTCTACCCTTTAATCCATTTCTGGGTCAGGGGGGTGACAATCAGAGATGCCAACCAAGTCTCATAGCACCAGCCCCTAACTGACCCTCTGCAGGTGGTGAGTCCACAGGACTTGTAGAGTGTTTTTATTATAAATATCATTGCATTTCTTGTGTTTGAAGTGTTTGATTCTCTGATTTGTGTTGGCAAATTCCACGGTTTTGTAAAGTCCTCCGAGATACAGTAACTACTCTTGTGATTTAGGGCTATAGAAGAATAAATTGAATTGAATTGAAATGGTATATATATGCTCATTTCTGCCATACTCACAGCAGCTACTTTTTGACGGACCATCTTTTCTACAACATAGTATTCTTCAGTCTCCATTGGTGGCTTGAGTTGATATGTTGAGAATTTTAGCTGTATATCACTTTGGTAAAAGAAAAACCTAAATATCATAGAATAGGTTGCATTCATGTGACATTGTAGTGGAGAGCAGCTAAAACATCTTTCCTGGTGACTACAGTGTCTGCTAAAAGTTTAGCTCCAACTTCTCTGCAATCCCTGGGCCAATCCACATGAAGCAAAAACTCAAGATCACAAAATTCCAATGATCTTTCTCAGCACATTTCAAGTCTGGTCTAACTATTTTCTCATAAATGTGGCTACAAGTGGTGAAAATGTTGTCCAGCAGAAATTACTTTGAGATTTAAGAAAATGGTGGGTTAGTGAATCTCTCTACAGCAAAATAATAATCTGGGAAATAATTTATTATATTTCTTTTATATTACATTCAATTAAAAAAATACTTATTTTTTTATTTTTTTTAAAAGTTGTTTCTTTGCTTTCTCCAAAAGCCTAACCAGGGACGGGGGCTGCAAATTAGCCTTTGGCTAGAAGCCTTGTATACTTCACATCGGTTACCTGTGGGTGACAATGTTTTTTTGTACTGTCCCTGTCAAATAAATAAATAAATAAATAAAATAAAATTTCCCATAGAGCTGTATTGGCACCGGCCCTCAAGCTGAACTAGAGATCTACAACATGCAGACAAGCCAACTTAATAAAAACATTGTATTGCAGTTAGCACATAATTGTGTCGTACCTGTCGAGCCATGCCAGCAGGTTTTTGGCCGCCCCGATGAGGTCCACCACAGAGGTGAGAAAGTCGTTGGGTAACCGCCTGGATGCCCTCCCGTCGTAGTGGCCGCCCCTCCGCCGCCCGAGGATGAAGTTCTGTAGGTTTTTGGCCGAGGCATTGAGTTTGTGTGACAGGGTGCGGAGGTTCTCTGTTTCAAGGCCATAGTTCTGTGTAAGATAGAAATGAGTATAGGTCAGATTCAATCTTAAAAGAAACTCGTAAATTTGAAGAGTTTAGCCATGACACATTATTGTTCCCAGAAACAGGCTTGGCAATATCAAGAACAGCTGGAACAAACATTCTCTTTTTGTCTAAATGCTTGTGTCTCTATCCTGGTGTGCTATGATGATCCTCATTACTGCATGGTCAGAGAAATGTTCTTTTCAAAAAGTATTGCCTCCAAATTAGTTCTGATTGCACAATGTAAGATTTGGATTTAATAAACATAAAAATGAACACATCCATCTGGTGATAGAAATGAGGAATTACATACTGAGACCATTGATATATTGTATACATGTTTTTCCATGTATTTTCAACTTGATGTCTACAACTTCACATTTCATTTTTTAAACAATACCTATGTTTGACCATTTGTCCATGTAGTATCAAATAATCAATATGTTTAATAAAGTCACTCTCCTTGCCATTACCACTAAGATTTGCTGGAGAATAACTGGGCCAATGGAAAGGGCCACCTATGTATCAATAATTTAAATGTATTCCATCCAATTACAAAGCAGTGGAGGTGGGAATGGGCAGTATAATTATAGGGTCAAATAAATAACATTAACGCTAATAAAACATCAAACAGCAAACCATGAAGACATCCCACATTTGAGCTTTTTTCTGACAGAAAAGTGAAGCAAGAATAACCACTCTTATTCAGCCAATCAGCTACTTGCCAACAGAAATATACACTCAGGATTCATTATTTGTCATATAATATCCATGTATTGTGATGCTATAAAGCAGTGAATGAATCATGTTATTCCTAATATTTCCAGTGCTACCCCTATTTAATTATGCCTATGTCTGTGCAACTTCCTTTACACAGGGTTTACATATCATTGCATCACTCCAGTCTTTGATGTCAGGTCGAAGATTGTCTGATAGGGTGTATTTTTTTTTAAACGTAACCAGAGATGCCTGCCTTTTGCTTCAGTTCTTTTTGAAAAGTGCTGCTCCAACAGATAGTGCTGATAGATGTCGATAGATAGACAGACGCAAACTGTATAAGAAATGCATAACCCTAACCCAAAACTTAAAAAAAAAAAGACAATTAGAGCCACTGTACTTTCTCTCCTTCTATTATATGAGTTATCCCTTTTGTTCCATGACCCTTACAGCCACACCCTCGGAGCATCTCGTCTCGGGACACCTCCAGTCATGTCGGCCCTGTTAGTCTATGTTGTTCTCTGACAAAATGATGGAAAACTCACTTTTGCAGACACTTGAAGAGAGGAGTCAGAAAGATGGCATTGCTATTTGACTGATCACAGTTAGACAATGGCGACCTTGGATATATTAAGACCTTCTAAACCAGGATTTAGAACCACCTCCCATGATCTTTGTGATTTGTTTGAGAGGGTTCGTTAAGTTGTATTTTAACTGTATGTACTTTTTAACTGTGACCCTGAGTATCTAGAAAGGCGCCTAAGAAATAAAAGGTATTATTATCATTATCTACTTAAGTAAATCCAGAAAGTACTGCTTGTTGAAGCCATATCCAGATTCTTAATTGGCTTAGAGAGGTATTTACAGTCACCTTCTTCTTGAGAAAATGCATCCTTCACAGTGATTGGTTAAATCTTGATGTCAGACTCAATAGGAGTAGCGTGTGGTAACATGGATTTGTCTTTGTTACAAAATATTCCAGATTCAGATTCAGAGGAACATGTCAGACTAAAAGGATCAAAACAAACTTCTTTCAAAGACTTTTCATGACTATTAAATCTTCTAAAGTCTAGTTAGAGGTGAACCCAGGACCTCTGGGAATTGCGTCAAAATAAACTAACATATTCTATACAAGGACAACTTTATAAAGGAAAGAGCAGTGCCAGCAAAAGCCCTAACATTGATGATAAGAGATCTTGTTCCAACCATAAATAATCTTTATTTATCTAGTGCCTTTCACAGACCAGTCACAAAGCTCTTTACAATTGTAGAGTTTTTCTTTGGCATTTTTTTCTCTCATTCCACACACAGATGGTAGCAGAGATGGGATTCTACATGTTTTTAGTGGTGGTATAGAACATGCAAACTCCACACAGAAAGGTCTGGAGATGGAATCAAACCCAGGACCTACTTGCTGTGAGGCACAAGCGCTAACCACTGCACCACCATGATGCCAAGTATTCACCCTCACGTGACTTGTGTGTAATTGTACCCTCATCAATCTGACACACCAGCCTGTGTTGCTCTGTGTTGAAGGTAAAGGCCCCCCAGGCTTTTTGCGAAGTGGGAATGAGGCTACTTATCCTCCAATATTTACAGTGTGTATCTAATTTATCTTGTTTTAAGGTGTCTAATAAAGGTTGTCATCATATCAATCACAGAGAGTACATTCCCAACTGTCAAACGTCACACTTTGTCATCAGGATATTACTGTATGTATGTCCCTGCATTTCTACTTGATGTGCTCTCGTCACCACGACTACAAAGGGTTTTGCGGTGACAGCGGGGGGAGACAATCAAAGCTGAAATGGGACCTAAAGAGGCAGAACAAGCTGTGGGGGAGATAGGGGGAGAGCGAGGGGGTAAGCATGGAAGGAGAAAGAACTGTGCATCCTTCGGGAAACTGGGTCATGCTATGATCCGTATTCTCGCGTGTATTCTGCTGTAAATGTCAATGTGCACGAGCAACATGTTAGATTGGTGTAATAATGCAAGCTTTGGTTTCATTCCGATAATCGCAGACACTGTTACAAAGATGTTGGCATTAAACAAAGCCTTGTGTGATGTACTAATACAAGTAACTAAATGCAATGTTAAGTATTATATACAATTAATAATGAGAGAGTCTTCTTTTTTTAGATCACCTAGCTACTGAATAATAAAGTAGCAATGCCTCCTGCAGTGTATATCATCAAAATGCATGACATTTTTCACAGAGAAAGTAAGATGTACTATTTTTTTTGTCAGAATACAACATTTTAAAGTCAATTTCAACATAAGAAAAATACTTGATACTATATAATGGTGATACCATGGTGTATATTTAGAAATAGTGCTTTTGGACAACAAACAATCATTTCTAACTCAAAATATCAACACTATTTTTTTTGGGACAAGCTGCATTTTCATTAAAAAAGATGGCCGGTACTCTCCATCTGTAGTCATCTCGTTCCCTTGTCCATCTTGTTTTTATGTGTCCAATTTTGTCCTGTTCTGTAATTTGACAATATAAAAATAATATCAAGTTTCATCACCAGTTTTAGTACCAATCTGATTCTCTATACTGTTGCCAATGTTGTATGTGTTTTATGACTCAAACTATATATATTTTTTGGATCCTGGGGCACCAGTAGACTTGCATTTGCAGTACATGCCACTGTCAAGGCAAAATAACATGCTATTATTATGATATAATTCAACCATACATGTCGGATTACAGTACAGGTTAGCGTTTTTTGTTTCTGTTGGATTAACTACAAGTATGCATGTAGCTTTGTCCAATCAATACGGCACGAGGGGGGCTATGTCATTAAAACAACTCCCTCCCGACCATTTTTTCCCCACGTCGATGTGGTTGCCATGGCAGCCCTGCCTGGAGTAGCCTCTTCTCAGTATCTCCACAGCAATCCTCAGAAGCGAGCTCCGCCATACATAAATGAAAACTATCGCTATATCCACAGTTTCTGCTTTTCTTCTTTTGTCAGGCTGCGTAGCATTTTCAAACCGTATTTACAATAAGATACAGCTTTGTATATGTTGAAATGATGGTGAAAGGTAAACTTGGTCCAGCTGTATTATCACTTCTAACAATACCTCATCAATGGTCCTTACTGAAGTGGATTTGGTGGAACATTTATTTTAAAGGTATAGAATCATTTCAAGTCTTGCTTCTCTGGGGGAAAAAGCGTCTTCCACAGGGCCACAGTAATATTAGTCCAGTTTCTTGAGTCTTTTACCTAATGTAATGCCGGTCCTCTACTGTCTTTCACCCCTCATCAGTCACCTCCACAGCTGTTTTCTCTGCTTTTGCGGCTCTCCATTTTCACCAAAATCACAAACCATCAGCACGAGCAGCAAACCAGCTACATAATCAGACTTAGGCCAATGATTGACATTTAAAATAGTTAAAAGCTAATGATTTATTTCATTTTTTGTAGTATCAAATTGAAACAGAAGTTTAGTTTTTTAGCCAATAAAAGCCTGCATCCAAGCTTATAAACCGCAGTACAGTCACGTTCGAGGCAACCAGTATGTGCCTTCAGCATCTCTGACCACCACCAACCATTCACAAACACACCACACTCATTCTCTGCAATGTGGGTGAAGTGTTTTGCCTAAGGGCACAACAACAGTTTGACACTTTGCAGCCGCCCCACTGTGGCACCTGGAGTTAGAGGCGTCCTATCACAGGCCCTACCATGCACAGCTTCAGAGATCTGACGGGATCTGGCTTTCTCATGCAAGTATGGCAACAGTGTGTGACCCTTCCAACATTTCCGTGTGACATATGTTTCATCATATATTTCATCACAATGGAAATATCCTTTATTACAGGAAGATGGTACACAGTGCAAGGCTTTGAAGATTCCAGTATGTAAACAGTGGCAGTCAGCAGCACATGAGAGCCGCATTGATCCAGAGGTGTACAGACTTTTGCTGCAGAAACACGAGCAGAGGGGACCAGTCTGAGTCAAGTGCTGAGCCCACATAATATTCACTGCAACAATGGCTCTTTGAAGCCTGCAGAGTATCAGCGAGAAGATACATTATATGGTGATATCAGCAGCTTCAATTGTATTTCATTCTTAAAACGATGCATAGTTTTGACCATGTGACCCTTTGCATGTTCAACCGTGAAAAGTAATATAGTTCAAAAAGACCTTCCTCTTGGCAATACCACAACCAGGAGAAAATGTATACCAATAGATAGATAGATGGATGGATACTTTATTGATCCCCCGCAGGAGAAATTCAGGTGATCAGTAGCAGA